TATGATGGTGGAATGGAGTGCAGGGATGGAGAGGATGGGTGAGATGGGGTGCAGAGGATGGGTATGATGGTGGAATGCGGTGCAGGGATGGAGAGGATGTCTGAAAAAGCTTAACTCTTTCATCAATGGATGCCTCTATACTGAAGCATCCAATAATGAATGGTAACCGCTGATTCTCAGCGGTTACCAGCATTGCAGAGCCACAAATAACTGGTCACATACAGAGTACGTGGCCAGTCATTTAGGCACTTCGTGGCGGGACGTACAGTGTGCGTCTCCTGTCAAGAAGGGGTTAATGTAAGGAATCAAGAAGAGGGAAATAACATATTGTGGCCCCTAGATGGAGCTGAGGAGTATTGGAAGTAAATACTTATTTCCTATGCTCCTCAGCTCCAGCTAGTCAAAATTTGCTATTTTTTGAATATTACATTCAACAAATGGCTCTTGCAATTGTTTATAAATAGATAAAGTCTGTTATTTAAGGAATTTATTTTCTTTAGAATTGCTCATGTTTTACAAATAATTACAAAAGCAATGATTTTGTTTTGGTTATATTCATTTCATTCTATTTTCAGTTTGAATTGCCTGCTTGACACAATATAATTTTACTGATTGGCTTCACTACTGAATGTTCAATCACTTCTTATTGCTTCCATATACCTCCTGTAAGTTATGGTACCATTTTATAATAATGCTCCATCAACAAATAGGTGCACAGGTCATTGCCTTCTGAGGTAATTAGTACTGCCATAAGTATTGCAGTTTAAAACAGACCTTCATAGAAAAATTGCTTTCCTGCCACCCAAACAAAATTTGACCGTGCCTCATCATTGTCTTTTTGGATAACTGGGCACTCCAAATTTTACAAGAATGCACCCTAGCCTATTGCAGGAGTCCATTCTTGTGGGAGTTTGAGTGCCCAGGAGGCAGTGTTGAGGAGCATTGATGTCACCTGTGCCTTCCAGAAGAGTTGAAAGCTGGGACCAAGGTGAGTTTTGTTTTTTTTGTTGTGTTTTTTTGGTTTTCTAGCTTTATTTTAAACGTTTTTCTGGCCTTTAATTTTGATTTTATGGAAGGCCTGCTTAAAAACTAAATAGTATAACTTTCTTCCTGGTTTTAGTTGTATCTATAATGGCAGCTTTTTTACATCTCCGTTTCATCACAATATGTTTTAAACAAGATATGGCATTCTAATAGTAATGCTTTTGTTTGTCTATAGAAAAAAAATGCTACAGGGAATCCTATGTAAGTGACAACATGGAAATGGATTTAGATCAGTCCGATAAATATTCTCATGGAAGCAGCAGGGAAAGTGCCAAGAACAATCGCTTTTCTAGACAGTCAACTGTCAGTCATAGTAGCTCACAAACCTCTGGCATTGAAGCTGACTCGCACCACAGGATTTCAGAGGAAATGTCTGTTGATGAGCCTTTTGGGATTGAGATGGTTCATGCTGACAAGAAATCTTATTGCTCAACCATCAGTCAAAGCACCTCTGGAATAGAACACGAGAACAAAGGAGGAATAGGAGGAGATTCTCAAGATGATGGTAATAATTGTTAAATCTACCTTTCCAACCAAATTGGAATAATTTATTTCACATATTCACGGCACAATTTATTTTTAGCTTTCATGTGTATTATATTTGAGTATATTTATTAACTGATCCACGTATCACATTTTTGAATAGAAGAGAATTCACCTTGATTATAAGTTCACTCTGGCCTAGCGCAACATATTATCCATTTAAATTGGAATAACACCTATTTTATATTTGTTACATGTTCCCATTACAACTTCTGTCGCATTCCCCATAATAAAAATAAATAAAACATGTATAATCATGGCAAAGCCATCTTAGATCCACAATGCATTCATTAAAATGACACTAAACTAATGAGTTATATCTTAAACATGCATTAAAAATACCTTAACTATTAACAAAAATGTATCTTATTTGTGTATCAGTTGGCTGTAGATCCTCGCATCATCTCTGAATTGGTACTGACACTGTCCTTCCTTCTGGAGGGTTGCTACTTTGTTCCCCATGGTCCCTGTGTGTGTTGTAAAGTAGCCACTGCTCCTAACTCACTTCCGTGATGGACTACAAGCTCAATACAAATGAGTACACTAAATGTGAGATTGTAGTCCATCACAGGAGTAAGCTTGGAGCAGTGTCTACTTTACAACACACACCATGCCACACGCCATGAGTAACAAAAGTAGCCACCCTCCAGAAATAAGGACAATGTCAGCATGAGGTCAGAGATGATTTGAGGATCTACAGCTGAGTGATACAAGAATAAGCTACATTTGAAGTGCTGAGGGAGCGTGGAGCCAGCTTCCTTTCCAAACAGGAAGCCGGGCGTTGGGTTATGACCCGGCTTCCTGAATGGTCAGGAAGCCAGGCTGTCTAGGAACAAGTGAAGCCAGCTTCCTATCCAATCAGGGAGGCGGGCCATAGCATGCCGCCCAGCTTCCGGATTGGCTAGGAAGCCGGTTTAACTTGTTGCTAGGCAACCTGGCTTCCTGACCAATCAGGAAGCGGGACGGCACCTCATGACCCGCCGCCCGGCTTCCTGTTTGGTTAGGAAGCCAGAAATCCTCGGCAAGTGAAGCCGGTGTACTTTCGATAGAACATCGACTTCCCAGGCAATCAGGAAGCGGGGCGAGGGGTCATGATCCCCCTGTCGACTTCCTGATAATCGAGGCACAAGGTCCCGGTATCGGCAAGTACCTGAAAAAACTGGTATCAGTGCATGCCTACTTAAGGTTTAACTCCAGAGTTTAGTGTCACTTTAAGTTGAATAGTGTGACTGTAAACTTGTCAAAATTGAAATGTGTTCTGCCAGTGATTGTTTATTCAGGTTCTGCATTTGAATTCGACGTGGCGGGAATGTGATGTCATTATGACATCGGTTTGAGGGTTTGAGGTGTTCTTGACTGTTTTCTAATTGGTTTATGCACTTTGGTGGTGTGTATTTACCTCTCAATTAATTATAACACTTTCTCATGCCTGATGAGGGGACCCTGAGTGGCCTCGAAATGGTGCAATGTGACAAGATGTGTGTGCATCAATTAAATGATCACTGCTTGAAGATTGAACAATGGTGTGCTGGTGACATACTTTACTATTAAAATTGAAATGTGGCCACTCCAAGAAGCAAGGGAGGCCCACTGTACTAAGTGTCTATTAAATTTTAATTTTTTTGATAAAGATATGTAGTGTAAATAATCTCATAACCCTCTGCAGTTAATCGCTGCCATGTCCAATCTCCCACCACCACCACATTGGATAACCTATGCAGTGGGCAGCATGGAATTGTTTCCTCCCACTGAGGTTATAATCACTGCTCATTTATTTAGCTTCTCTACAGAGACATATTTCTTACTTGTTTTCAATCTCCAAGGCATACAAAAAAAACTCAGTACTAGTAATACAGGATACTTATGCTCCCCTTAGCTAAATGTGTGTGCAGTCAGATGGGGAAGTCAAATGGAAATTTAAAAACGGAAATTAAAAAAACAGAAAATGTTTTTTTATTTACATTTTTTTAATATTTCATTTTTATTTTTTATAAACTTTTTTTTTTATTCATTTATTCAATATTTTAATTTTTTTACTTTTAGGGGCTTCGGAGGAAATATTAGGAGTCTAAACAGACCACTGATATTTCCCTTTTTAAAATAGGAAAAGAAATTGAGGACACAGAGTCCTCTCTATACTGAAGTGTTCCTGTTCATTCATAACTTGGAGATAGTATGTTTACTATAACCACAATAATGAATGAACAGGAGGTGATGTAGATTACTTCCCATTCATTCATAATTTAGGCTATAGTAACCATACTATGTCCTCATTTATGTACAAACACTCAGCAATCACTGAGTGTTTGCACTTGGTCTCCTTCCTGACACGCTGTCACAGTAGGCTGAGCGTGCGGTGCCTGGAGGAGAGCTCAGCCTCCTGTGACAGTGCGAGCTGTCTCCACCCACACACCGCTCTGCCGGGCTGTGACAGGAGGCTGAGCAGTGTGGGAGGAGAGACACCGGCCGCTCGCAGCGCTCAGCCACCTGTGACACTTTCTCTCCTCCCCGCTGGGACACAGAGCAGTGCCCAGCGGGGAGGAAAGAAAGCAGGGATGCGCCACTGTATCTGCAAAAAATGGCACTTTCGGCATTTAGCCAAAATGTTAGTTTTTCTTCACTGTAATATTTTGGTTAGTTAGCCTAGTTTATTAGAGTATACAGGTTAAATTAATTAAACGATTTACTATTAATTTAGAATGTAATGGATGATCTACATCTGCTAAATATATTTGGAAAATACTGGAACATATACAAACTGTAGAAATTGCTATTTTCTTCACTTTTTTGTTACTATGGTTGAAGTCACCTGTTATCGAAAAATCTTTGCTCCGAAATCATTGAATAATTTTATTTCATCTAACAGAGGTTGAGCTGTCAGTGGATAAGCCTCTTGACGCTGAAGTTATTGGACCAGTATCTGTTTTGGAGACTGAAGAGCAGTGTGTGGATTCGCCTATAATGGATAATTACAGCTGGCAAAGTAAGCATTGTCAAGAGTATAACAAAAAAAAATCCTCACTTCCCTTCATAACAGCAGATTTCCTCACTTCCCTTCATAACAGCAGATTCCCAGTAATCCTCACATAACTTTAGACACACTGCTTTCAGTGGTGTGTCAAAGTTTGTAAGTGGTTTAATGCACACTAAGAAGTGAAAAGATGTGCCCAAAATGGTCAATGTCAAATGCCACAGTTGTCATAGCTATGATATTCGTTAATAAGTACACCACAAATCATGATTCCACATACCAGTGACACATGTGACACAAAGCACCCAGAGGCCCATGGTGCAGCAACCTGGCCCCCCTCCCGCTCTGCCTCTTCACCCGCCTTCTCCCCGCCCCTGTCTGCCACTTTTGCCATCCATGTAACGGTAGTGTGAATGCGAGGACTCCTAGTAAGTCCATGAAAGCGGTGACTGGCTGGGGGATGGTGCTCTCCTCCCAATGGGCTCCCTACATGGTTCTGGCCTTACTCCGCTTCATGTCCGGTACTTAGGCACTCTCACCCACTGTAGACCGCCGCTGGCTGTCCATGCTTCTGGGCTGTGAGCTGTGGGAGGGGCCGGACAGTGTCAAAGTCAGTGTTCTATAATTTTTCTCGATCCTATACATTTTCTCGACTCTCACTTCCAGTGGTGCCGAGTCATTGGAATCAGCTGTTTTCATGACCCCCTTTCTTCATGACATGCGCACCTGGAAGTGACGCGGCAGAGAAATGTATAGTTTATATCTGGCAGCGGCAAGTGTGAGGCGGGGAGGAGGTGCAGCGTGTAGAGCGTGGATGCGGGGGGGGTCTGGCAGTGGCAAGCGTGAGCCGGGGAGGAGGTGCGGCGTGGATGGAGCCATGAACAGGGCCAAGTAATCAAAAGCTGATTAATCGATGATTGAAAACGTTGACAACTTTTTCAATCATCAATTATAATCGGCTTAGTCGATTAGTTGTTGCAACCCTACATTCATGCCCGATTTCTGTGGACAGTCCTCGGATTGAGGAGACCATCCCCTGACAAATTATGTCTCCGGGAACATAAAATAAACCATTTTTTTCTTTAATACTCGCCTGATCCCTGCATCCACCAACAAGCGCAGCCTCCCGTCTTCCACGCTGTTAGAAGCTGCATACAGCGTGTGCTGGTTACTACTTAAACCGGCGCGCTGTGTGCAGCTTCTGAGAAGATACGCTATTAGCGTAGCGAGAAAGCCGGCTGCTCATTTTGCATAGGTCCCGCTACGCTAATAGCGTATCTTCTCAGAAGCTGCACACCGCGCGCCGGTTTAAGTAGTAACCAGCACACGCTGTATGCAGCTTCTAACAGCGTGGGAGACTGGAGGCCGCACTTTTGGTGGATCCAGGAATCGGATGAGTATTAAAAAAAAAATTTATTTTATGTTTCCGGGGATAAAATGTCCCTGGATTTTGTTATAAAAATGTTGTCACCTTACCTTGGCCTGGTGGTCAGTGGGGGACCCATGGAC